CTCTCTCTCTCTCTCTCTCTCTCTGACGGAACGTCTCCTCTCCTCCCCCCGTATGTCAGCAGTGGGATCATCCCCCCCTCAGACGCGTGCGGGTGGCTGTGGCTGTGATAACGAAACCGCAAACCGGGTGTTTGGCAAAGGTGTGTGTGTGTGTGTTTGTGTGTATGTGTGTGTGTGTGCAGATGTTCCCGCGCTTTCCAACTCATGTCCGTCACCGCGGCAAAATTTAAAATGATAGCGGAATCATTTCACACGACGAGTGTGACAGAAGTGAACAGAAATCTGAGCAAAAATCAGGTATTTTATCAAAGTTACTATAGGACATCCTTCGACGACGACGTCGAAAGGTGTTGCCAGTTAACTGGATATCAACTTGTTTGGGCACTTGGTAAACACGAGTTTGCACCAGTACTAAAAGGGTGGTCCACAGAACCCCTTCCTTTATTTTGCTTATACTGTACCGGATGTAGGCGTGCGCACAGGTTGCATACTCGCACGGGGCCATAAGGCGCCTATGGTGAGAGACAGTAGGCAAGCGCGCCCGCACGCATGCATGCGGTACAGTATAAGCAAAATAAAGGAAGGGGTCTATGGACCAACCTGTATAACATCAAGTCACTGACAAAGAGTCAAAGCGTTATCACTGTTATTTTGGTAATAATTTAAGTAGATTTAGGAAGTTACAAATTTGAAAATGTTGGCAGGTGTTGGAGCAATGGTGGTCACTAAGTTAAACACTTCGGGCATCATTCACTATTATCGTTGAACAGAGACTTGGAGGTAATCGAAACACTTGTCACAGAACAGAGGCGCCGTCGGTCGGCCTCGACCTTCCTTCTCAATAACTACTGTAGCAGGTCAGGATTGCCAACATTCGGACTTGCAAAACTCCTTCCCATAGTAGCTGTCAGGAGGTTCGTCAACACACACGACAACACACCACGCGCCCGCCAAAAACAACAACAAAAACAATGGCAATCACCAAAATCACAAAAGAGTCGCACACTACTTGCTACTACTTACAATCCGCAGAGGATGTCGTGCTTGTGCTTGTGGTAGACCTTGGAGGGGGCGACGGCGAGCGCCGGGACCATGGTGGCGCCGGCGTGGTGGCGGCCCTGCTTGGCGGCGCACACGGCGGCGCACGGCGACGGCCTGCAGAACGCGATGAGTACCAGCTCCATGCTCACGGGCAGCGCTCGGCACAATGACAGCGGTCCACGCAGCCTCCGCCCAGCTGGGGTCCCTCGCGGACCGGCGCGACGGCTGATAAGCGCGGGGCGGGGCGGGGGGGCCGGTCCACGGCCATTTCT